TTGGTGGTCTACAGGCAGATTGGTGGTCTACAGGCAGATTGGTGGTCTACAGGCAAATTGGTGGTCTACAGGCAGATTGGTGGTCTACAGAGAGATTGGTGGTCTACAGGCAGATTGGTGGTCTACAGAGAGATTGGTGGTCTACAGGCAGATTGGTGGTCTACAGGCAGATTGGTGGTCTACAGAGAGATTGGTGGTCTACAGGCAAATTGGTGGTCTACAGGCAGATTGGTGGTCTACAGAGAGATTGGTGGTCTACAGGCAAATTGGTGGTCTACAGGCAGATTGGTGGTCTACAGAGAGATTGGTGGTCAACAGGCAGTTTGGTGGTCTAAAGGCAGATTGGTGGTCTACAGAGAGATTAGTGGTCTACAGAGAGATTGGTGGTCTACAGGCAGTTTTGTGGTCTACAGGTAGATTGGTGGTCTACAGAGAGATTGGTGGTCTACAGGCAGTTTGGTGGTCTAAAGGCAGATTGGTGGTCTACAGGCAGATTGGTGGTCGACAGGCAAATTGGTGGTCTACAGGCAGACCATATCAATGTTAGAGTTAGAGAGACCGTGTCAATGTTAGAGTTAGAGAGACCGTGTCAATGTTAGAGTTAGAGAGACCGTGTCAATGTTAGAGTTAGAGAGACAGTGTCAATGTTAGAGAGACCGTGTCAATGTTAGAGAGACCGTGTCAATGTTAGAGTTGGAGAGACCGTGTCAATGTTATAGAGACCGTGTCAATGTTAGAGAGACCGTGTCAATGTTAGAGTTTGAGAGATCGTGTCAATGTTAGAGTTTGAGAGACCGTGTCAATGTTAGAGTTTGAGAGACCGTGTCAATGTTAGAGAGACCGTGTCAATGTTAGAGAGACCGTGTCAATGTTAGAGTTGGAGAGACCGTGTCAATGTTATAGAGACCGTGTCAATGTTAGAGTTTGAGAGACCGTGTCAATGTTAGAGAGACCATGTCAATGTTAGAGAGACCATGTCAATGTTAGAGAGACCGTGTCAATGTTAGAGTTTGAGAGACCGTGTCAATATTAGAGCTAGAGAGACCGTGTCAATGTTAGAGTTGGAGAGACCGTGTCAATGTTAGAGTTGGAGAGACCGTGTCAATGTTATAGAGACCATGTCAATGTTAGAGTTTGAGAGACCGTGTCAATGTTAGAGTTTGAGAGACCGTGTCAATGTTAGAGAGACCGTGTCAATGTTAGAGAGACCGTGTCAATGTTAGAGTTGGAGAGACCGTGTCAATGTTATAGAGACCGTGTCAATGTTAGAGTTAGAGAGACCGTGTCAATGTTAGAGTTAGAGAGACCGTGTCAATGTTAGAGAGACCATGTCAATGTTAGAGAGACCGTGTCGATGTTAGAGTTAGAGAGACCGTGTCAATGTTAGAGTTTGAGAGACCGTGTCAATGTTAGAGTTTGAGAGACCGTGTCAATGTTAGAGAGACCATGTCAATGTTAGAGAGACCGTGTCAATGTTAGAGAGACCGTGTCAATGTTAGAGAGACCATGTCAATGTTAGAGAGACCGTGTCAATGTTAGAGAGACCATGTCAATGTTAGAGTTGGAGAGACCATGTCAATGTTAGAGAGACCGTGTCAATGTTAGAGTTAGAGAGACCGTGTCAATGTTAGAGAGACCATGTCAATGTTAGAGAGACCATGTCAATGTTAGAGTTGGAGAGACCGTGTCAATGTTAGAGTTAGAGAGACCGTGTCAATGTTAGAGAGACCGTGTCAATGTTAGAGTAAGAGAGACCGTGTCAATGTTAGAGTTAGAGAGACCGTGTCAATGTTAGAGAGACCGTGTCAATGTTAGAGTTAGAGAGACCGTGTCAATGTTAGAGAGACCGTGTCAATGTTAGAGAGACCGTGTCAATGTTAGAGAGACCATGTCAATGTTAGAGAGACCGTGTCAATGTTAGAGAGACCATGTCAATGTTAGAGTTGGAGAGACCATGTCAATGTTAGAGAGACCGTGTCAATGTTAGAGTTAGAGAGACCGTGTCAATGTTAGAGAGACCATGTCAATGTTAGAGAGACCATGTCAATGTTAGAGTTGGAGAGACCGTGTCAATGTTAGAGTTAGAGAGACCGTGTCAATGTTAGAGAGACCGTGTCAATGTTAGAGTAAGAGAGACCGTGTCAATGTTAGAGTTAGAGAGACCGTGTCAATGTTAGAGAGACCGTGTCAATGTTAGAGTTAGAGAGACCGTGTCAATGTTAGAGAGACCGTGTCAATGTTAGAGAGACCGTGTCAATGTTAGAGAGACCGTGTCAATGTTAGAGTTAGAGAGACCGTGTCAATGTTAGAGTTGGAGAGACCGTGTCAATGTTAGAGTTAGAGAGACCGTGTCAATGTTAGAGAGACCGTGTCAATGTTAGAGAGACCGTGTCAATGTTAGAGAGACCGTGTCAATGTTAGAGAGACCGTGTCAATGTTAGAGTTAGAGAGACCGTGTCAATGTTAGCACGGAAGACATATTGACAGATCATCAGCTTCCCCAATGCAAACTTTTGTCCCGTCTCAAGTAGTTGAATCTGTACAGAAGACAAACATTTGCTGTAGCAGCAGATTTGTAATAGGCGGTTTGGAAATCGGTGATCATACACCAGGGGCCGGAGTTCAGCTCAGATAAATACATATGCTGGTCTATAGATATAAATCAATAATAAATAATGAATGTATGGTAACACACACATATGCACGACAAGTTATATATGGTACATATAACCTCCCCCAGATAGTTTGGTAACCTAACACCACCACCCCCGGTGGTTAAACACATGAAATCCCCCCCCCCCCCCGAGCAATTCACCCCATTCCCTGCGCCACATAGTATAAATAACAGCGGTCTGAAGCCCACCTCCCTTCTACGTGTGAGATGTTATTTATGGCCGCGCCTTAATTAGCATTTGAAACTTTTCTCTCCAACTGCGACGTGAAAGTCGGCCCACTTAAAGACCACTGTGGGTAGCCACGAAAACAGTGGACTTTTGTAAGGCCGAGTAGAATCAATGGTTTTTTCCACGGCAAAATGAAATGTCAACTTTATAATTTTAGGCTGCGTGACACTGCGTGTAGAAAACAGATCGGAAATAACCGTCAAAGGAAACAAAAAACTGTAATTAAGGCATCGGTTTCTCGGCCTAAAACCTGGTCTCGTCTGTCGCCGCCAGGTGGAATTACAGGTTGGTGCTGCCAGGCTTCCACCAGCCATCCACCAGCTTTCCACCAGCCATCCACCAGCGTGTACTTCCTTGACATTTGTGCCAGGAAAGAGATCAATACCTTTCTTGTTTTCCCCAGGATTTGTGCACAAGCAGGCCATCTTAGGCGGACTGGCGTGTCATGAGAAAAGGCTTTAAAAAAATGCGTCAAAAATATTTTGGTCCAAGTAAGGTATGAGATCAAATAGACGGGGTGAAGTCTTTAATTACTGAGAGACATTGGCGCTAATTGGCTGAGCTATTTTGTTGACCGGTCTTTAAAGAACGTAGTTTACTTCTCTGATCATACATGGACGCCATTCAATCACAAGTACATCGACTTGCTCGCTATATGGGAAGGTGATGTACAGGGGCGTATTAGAGCGGGGCCCCGAGGGGAAATTTTTTTGGGGTCATATATATATGGGCGCGATTCGATTCTTCTCTATATATGGTATATAAAAAATAAAGTCGATTGCGGATTGACACTGTTCATCCGATCGCCATAAACTTTGTGGAATTATTAGACCACTCCAGGGTTGGTTTCTGCTAAAAATTTGTTTAAATTTCTTAAGGGCGGCGCCCCGGCAGGGCGCGATTTTTCTCTATATATGGTATATAAAAAATAAACGTCGGCTGCGGTTCGACATCGTTCATCTGATCGCCATGAAACTTTGGGAAGTTGTTGAGAATACTTCTGGGGAGGTTTTGCGGAAAAAAAATTGAATACCGCACGGGCGGAGCCCGGGCAGGGTGCAATTTGGCGCCCCGTGTTATCCCGTGAGCGCGATGGTGTCACGTTCGTTTTAAACAGTGCGATAGACTTTGAATAAGATGGAGCGCTCAGGTCGTTCACTAAATCAGGCGCATTCACCGGCGCCCGACTGGGTGCAATTTGGCGCCCCGGGCTATCCCGTTAGCGTTATGACACATGCTTTCGCTTTAAAGAGTGTGATATGGATGAGAATTAATATTATAGTCATTCACTAAACATAATCAGGCGTGTCCGACCGAGTCCCGGCATGGTGCGATTTGCCCTGGGCTATCTCTTTTAATATATATATATATATATATATATATATATATATATATATATATATATATATATATATATATATATATATATATATATATATATATATATATATATATATATATATATATATATATATATATATATTATTTTTTTAAAGCTAACGTTTTGTCAGTCGTATAACTTGAACAACAATTTCATTACATCCAACTAAGCATCTTTAGAATCTTTAAAATTGTTATTATAGATCATATTTAGCCGGGGTTATTTTTTGATATTCCGAAGTGGAACTGGGAACGTAAACTCCTCAGTTGTATGGCTTCATCAAGAGAGATGGCACGTACTTAGAGGAATAACAGAAAAACAACTGAGTTCATCAATATCAGTACGTGAACACTTGTGTACTTTATGAACAAGCGTGGTTTACTTCAGATGTAGGCCAGTCATAGAGAAAACTTAGTGACTTACACTTGTAGATGTTACATACACACCTCGTGTGACATACATCCTCCTGTAACATACACACCTCGTGTGATTTTACACTCGTATTGTGACATACACTCATATTGTGACATACATCCTCGTGTCACATACACACCTCGTGTAACATACACACCTCGTGTAACATACACACCTCGTGTAACATACACACCTCGTGTAACATACACACCTCGTGTGATATACACTCGTATTGTGACATACACTCCTCGTATTGTGACATACACTCGTGTTGTGACATACACTCTTCGTATTGTGACATACACTCCTCGTGTTGTGACATACACTCCTCGTGTTATGACATACACTCCTCGTGTTGTGACATACACTCCTCGTGTGACATACACTCCTCGTGTTGTGACATACACTCGTATTGTGACATACACTCCTTGTGTGACATACATTCCTCGTGTGACATACACTCCTCGTGTTGTGACATACACTCGTATTGTGACATACACTCCTCGTGTTGTGACATACACTCCTCGTGTGACATACACTCCTCGTGTTGTGACATACACTCGTATTGTGACATACACTCCTTGTGTGACATACATTCCTCGTGTGACATACACTCCTCGTGTTGTGACATACACTCCTCGTGTGACATACATTCCTCGTGTGACATACACTCGTGTTGTGACATACACTCGTATTGTGACATACACTCCTCGTATTGTGACATACACTCCTTGTGTGACATACATTCCTCGTGTGACATACACTCCTCGTATTGTGACATACACTTTTCGTATTGTGACATACACTCCTCGTGTTGTGACATACACTCCTCGTGTGACATACACTCCTCGTGTTGTGACATACACTCCTCGTATTGTGACATACACTCCTCGTGTGACATACACTCGTATTGTGACATACACTCCTTGTGTGACATACATTCCTCGTGTGACATACACTCCTCGTGTTGTGACATACACTCCTCGTGTGACATACACTCCTCGTGTTGTGACATACACTCGTGTTGTGACATACACTCCTCGTGTGACATACACTCCTCGTGTTGTGACATACACTCCTCGTGTGACATACACTCCTCGTGTGACATACACTCGTATTGTGACATACACTCCTCGTGTGACATACATTCCTCGTGTGACATACACTCGTGTTGTGACATACACTCGTATTGTGACATACACTCCTCGTGTTGTGACATACACTCCTCGTGTGACATACACTCCTCGTGTTGTGACATACACTCGTATTGTGACATACACTCCTCGTGTTGTGACATACACTCGTATTGTGACATACACTCCTCGTGTGACATACACTCCTCGTGTGACATACACTCCTCGTGTTGTGACATACACTCGTATTGTGACATACACTCCTCGTGTTGTGACATACACTCCTCGTGTGACATACACTCCTCGTGTTGTGACATACACTCGTATTGTGACATACACTCCTTGTGTGACATACATTCCTCGTGTGACATACACTCCTCGTGTTGTGACATACACTCGTGTTGTGACATACACTCCTCGTGTGACATACACTCCTCGTATTGTGACATACACTCCTCGTGTGACATACACTCGTGTTGTGACATACACTCGTATTGTGACATACACTGCTCGTATTGTGACATACACTCGTATTGTGACATACACTGCTCGTATTGTGACATACACTCCTCGTGTGACATACACTCCTCGTGTGACATACATGTTCAACAGACACTCCCCGATCGCCCCACATTCCCAACCATCGAAGCAGCCACTGGCTTTGATTTGATTGCTCTGTCCATTGGCTTTTGACATCTTTGACATTTGATGTCAACTTGGTTTCGTCTGCTTTGCTTCTTGCTTGAGGAACTGGGGCTTAGAAGGATTACAGTAATTTCTAAATTAATTCACCAGACGTCAATCCTGTTTTAGTAAAGCTCAAACGTCATAATACAAGCGGACTGAACAACTGGGGGGGGGGGGGGGATGGCAGAGTTGTGGGGGAGGGCAGTTTTTGACGGGGGGGGGGGGGAGGGGAAGGTGGTTCATGATAATAATAGAAAAGGATAGCTTTAGGCTTACATCACCGGGAGACAGTAGGTTGTAACTAGAGTGTAAGTTTAAGTGACACCTTCCTCGGTAGGTTGGTAGTTGTGTACAAGTTTGTGTGGTAGTTGAGTACAAGTTTGTGTGGTAGTTGAGTACAAGTTTGTGTGGTAGTTGAGTACAAGTTTGTGTGGTAGTTGAGTACAAGTTTGTGTGGTAGTTGAGTACAAGTTTGTGTGGTAGTTGTGTACAAGTTTGTGTGGTAGTTGAGTACAAGTTTGTGTGGTAGTTGAGTACAAGTTTGTGTGGTAGTTGAGTACAAGTTTGTGTGGTAGTTGAGTACAAGTTTGTGTGGTAGTTGAGTACAAGTTTGTGTGGTAGTTGAGTACAAGTTTGTGTGGTAGTTGAGTACAAGTTTGTGTGGTAGTTGAGTACAAGTTTGTGTGGTAGTTGAGTACAAGTTTGTGTGGTAGTTGAGTACAAGTTTGTGTGGTAGTTGAGTACAAGTTTGTGTGGTAGTTGAGTACAAGTTTGTGTGGTAGTTGAGTACAAGTTTGTGTGGTAGTTGAGTACAAGTTTGTGTGGTAGTTGAGTACAAGTTTGTATTTTTTAGGAACACGAAAAAAAACCGTGTCAAGACGACAAAATATATTTAGCACGCATACGATTATACACACATGTTGATAGGTGTTGATACACACAAGTTGATAGGTGTTGATACACACATGTTGATAAACACAACTTGATAGGTGTTGATACACACTCATTTTGATACACACACGTTGATACACACACGTTGATACACACAAGTTGATAGGTGTTGATACACACATTTTGATACACACAAGTTGATACACACAAGTTGATACACACAAGTTGATACACACAAGTTGATACACACAAGTTGATACACCAAAGTTGATAGGTGTTGATACACACACATTTTGATACACACAAGTTGATAGGTGTTGATACACACATTTTGATACACACAAGTTGATACACACACGTGTTAATACACACAAGTTGATAGGTGTTGATACACACACGTGTTAATACACACAAGTTGATAGGTGTTGATACACACGAATGGACCTACGTTAAATCAACGAACATTTCCTCAGACTTAGGACAGTTGTAGGGGCAATTAACACGTAAGTGAAAGCCTATACCATACGTTAGTACTGGGATACAAACAAGTGAAGAGCAAAATAATCCTACCACACATGGACCAACCTACCACACATGGACCAACCTACCACACATGGACCAACCTACCACACATGGACCAACCTACCACACATGTAATGGACCAACCTACCACACATGTGATGGACCAACTTACCACACATGGACCAACCTACCACACATGTGATGGACCAACCTACCACACATGTGATAGACCAACCTACCACACATGGACCAACCTACCACACATGTAATGGACCAACCTACCACACATGTGATGGACCAACCTACCACACATGGACCAACCTACCACACATGTGATGGACCAACCTACCACACATGTGATAGACCAACCTACCACACACGGACCAACCTACCACACATGTGATGGACCAACCTACCACACATGTGATAGACCAACCTACCACACATGTGATGGACCAACCTACCACACATGTGATAGACCAACCTACCACACATGGACCAACCTACCACACATGTGATGGACCAACCTATCACACATGGACCAACCTACCACACATGGACCAACCAACCACACATGGACCAACCTACCACACATGTGATGGACCAACCTATCACACATGGACCAACCTACCACACATGGACCAACCTACCACACATGGACCAACCTACCACACATGTGATGGACCAACCTACCACACATGGACCAACCTACCACACATGTGATGGACCAACCTACCACACATGGACCAACCTACCACACATGTGATGGACCAACCTATCACACATGGACCAACCTACCACACATGGACCAACCTACCACACATGGACCAACCTACCACACATGGACCAACCTACCACACATGTGATGGACCAACCTATCACACATGGACCAACCTACCACACATGGACCAACCTACCACACATGTGATGGACCAACCTACCACACATGTGATGGACCAACCTATCACACATGGACCAACCTATCACACATGGACCAACCTACCACACATGGACCAACCTACCACACATGGACCAACCTACCACACATGGACCAACCTACCACACATGGACAAACCTACCACACATGTGATGGACCAACCTACCACACATGGACCAACCTACCACACATGGACCAACCTACCACACATGGACCAACCTACCACACATGGACCAACCTACCACACATGTGATGGACCAACCTATCACACATGGACCAACCTACCACACATGTGATGGACCAACCTACCACACATGTGATGGACCAACCTACCACACATGGACCAACCTACCACACATGGACCAACCTACCACACATGGACCAACCTACCACACATGGACCAACCTACCACACATGGACCAACCTACCACACATGGACCAACCTACCACACATGTGATGGACCAACCTACCACACATGTGATGGACCAACCTACCACACATGGACCAACCTACCACACATGTGATAGACCAACCTACCACACATAGACCAACCTACCACACATGTGATGGACCAACCTATCACACATGAACCAACCTACCACACATGGACCAACCTACCACACATGGACCAACCTACCACACATGTGATGGACCAACCTACCACACATGGACCAACCTACCACACATGGACCAACCTACCACACATGGACCAACCTACCACACATGGACCAACCTACCACACATGGACCAACCTACCACACATGTGATGGACCAACCTACCACACATGTGATGGACCAACCTGTCACACATGGACCAACCTACCACAAATGTGATGGACCAACCTACCACACATGTGATGGACCAACCTACCACACAAGGACCAACCTATCACACATGTGATGGACCAACCTACCACACATGTGATGGACCAACCTACCGCACATGTGATGGACCAACCTACCACACATGGACCAACCTACCACACATGGACCAACCTACCACACATGTGATGGACCAACCTACCACACATGGACCAACCTACCACACATGTGATGGACCAACCTATCACACATGGACCAACCTACCACACATGGACCAACCTACCACACATGGACCAACCTACCACACATGGACCAACCTACCACACATGTGATGGACCAACCTATCACACATGGACCAACCTACCACACATGGACCAACCTACCACACATGTGATGGACCAACCTACCACACATGTGATGGACCAACCTATCACACATGGACCAACCTATCACACATGGACCAACCTACCACACATGGACCAACCTACCACACATGGACCAACCTACCACACATGGACCAACCTACCACACATGGACAAACCTACCACACATGTGATGGACCAACCTACCACACATGGACCAACCTACCACACATGGACCAACCTACCACACATGGACCAACCTACCACACATGGACCAACCTACCACACATGTGATGGACCAACCTATCACACATGGACCAACCTACCACACATGTGATGGACCAACCTACCACACATGTGATGGACCAACCTACCACACATGGACCAACCTACCACACATGGACCAACCTACCACACATGGACCAACCTACCACACATGGACCAACCTACCACACATGGACCAACCTACCACACATGGACCAACCTACCACACATGTGATGGACCAACCTACCACACATGTGATGGACCAACCTACCACACATGGACCAACCTACCACACATGTGATAGACCAACCTACCACACATAGACCAACCTACCACACATGTGATGGACCAACCTATCACACATGAACCAACCTACCACACATGGACC